TACTGGGGGATGGACTCTAATCTTTCATACAAATAGCCATAACGACTGTTAGTAATCTTTATCAGAAAGTTAAGTAAGGTCAGTGAACTAACAAAGTTTCTTTAGAACAAATGGGTAACTGAAAACATCCCCCGGTAAGCTACAAGAACGAAGACGAGAAGGTAACCTTAATATGCGCTAACAGAGGTTTACATAATGACTATGAGGAGTGCTGAACAGTTTATTAACACAGGAAACAGAAAGAGGAATTGTCAATTTTACTAGGTAACAAATGAAAAGACAATTGTTTAAATGTAGAATGAATAGTCTTGAAAAGCTGTTAGTGCAAAAAGTGGAAAAAAGGTGGGCCATAATGATACACTTCCAGAAAGCATCTGTGAACTTAACAGTGAAGTTCCCACCCATGTTGTTAATAGTCAACGATCGTGCAGTTTAATGACTAATTCTTCCAATACAGTTTGATAAAAACTTGGATAACTGTGGTTTGATAAGACGAAAGATTATTAAATATCGAGGTCAAATCTTGAAATAGATTTCCAAATCAGTCTAATGAAACATTTCCGAGAAAACAATAAAAAACCGTCTTAAGAACTTTATTTATATCAAAATATTAGTCAAAACCAGTAACCTACGAGTGCAGCAGGCCAATGAGGATGATAACCAATACTTAGCGATTTGCAGTTAATGGAACTGGAACCTGGAGTGGTTATTGTCAAATCACCCAATGAAGTTGTGGAACCGCCAACTGAAAATCCCGGGGGTGGTATTGAAGTAGATAACAAGCCTGTCAGGTCTGGAGTAACACGAGCCACCTCTTCAGCTGACATGTGTTAACTTGATACCCTCACCAATCCCAAGTATGTACACAGGTTGTAGAGCCAAAGCTCAAATGGGGCTAGAAAAATAAGAAGACCTATTGAAGTTAAAGATGAATAAATGACAAAACTAGTGAGAGGAAATTGATTCGAACCAAAAAAGGAAATAACTGAGGAATCAAGATCTAGATGCATTTCCGCTACGTAGTAAACATTATTGAACTACTGTCATCGGAAAAAGAGTTCGATAAATACACACAATAGTCCCAAGAAATAAGTCATAAGACCATAACACAGAGAGTTGTGGTTGGATGATATTCGTTTATTCCTATTTGAAACTTAATGAGTAAAACATTACGAAATACAGGTTCATGAACAACAATTGAACCGAACTTTCCCTGTGTGAGATCTAGGCATACTGTCGGGCTGCCCAAATCTAAACAGGCACGCTAGATTCCGTGGCATAATGGTTAATAACTAAGCACTCTGGTCATTGGCTTAACGTTGACATTTATCACGTTTTGTAAGGAGCTTTAAAAGATGAAGATCGAAGAGTCTAAACATTGTCTTGAGACAGTACCAGTTTTCTAAGTGTATGATAAATACCTCATTAATATCAATTAATAAAATAAACGAACGGAAAGTAAAGGGAGTGTGAGAAAGTGTGGTCATGAATATCACACAACAATGATTGCGACATACGGCACATTCCTGCTTACACGTCCAAAGCTAATTAGAATACCATCAGATTGAAACAAAGGCGTAGACTACCCAATCAAAACATGGTGCCAGTATCAAATGGAGTGTAAATTACCACTTTTTTCGCAAATGCTAATTTGACTAGTCCTGGAGAGAACATATCACGGATATACTTCGAGAACATCTTTTTTCATGGACACAATTTCTGCATCAGTATTTTCGTTTCCTCAGCTTTTTTCTTTGTGTAATGGGACGACTAGGACTAATACGTAATCATGAAGTTTTACGTTCATTCTATACTCAGAATATTTAAGGTTAACTTATAAGCGTAACTTGAAGAGGTGTGAAGGGTAAGATAGCTTAAGATACCTAGTCCCCTTCAACTTTAATTTGTAAACAATGACCAAATATTTGTAACTCTGTGTGCGTAAACATAAACAAACTCGTATAGATATGCCAGAAAAGTCAGTAGATGACGCATTAGATGATACAAACTTAAGACCTGATTGGGAAATGGATTCTAAACCATAAAAATCTGATCATTTCAGTGCATGAGCTACAAGGCGACCTTAGTATTTGATTTTTAGAATCCCATTATTAGAATTGAGATTGTATCAGGCAGGAAATGTCTGTGTACTACCCATGTACTACAGATACCCTGAAAAATTATATGAAACTTTTCGAACCAGGGATGGCCAAATGTACGCTTCAGAAAAACGATTTACAACTGGAAAACTTTTGGTCCCCAAGAATTAAAGTCAAAAGGGTAACGTTAAATAGTTCAACATACACCTAGTTAGCATGCTGATGTCATATCAGTGCTATCTAGGCACAGTAACAGCAAAAAATGGGACAAAGGCGTATTGAAAAAAGGTGGCGATGTCACATCGGTACAGCGATGGAACTGACAACAAGAGAGATAAATGATTTCAAACAGTATCAACGGTAGTGTGATACGGATGCAGTCGGAAAGTGGTGTTGAATAGTATAAATACACAAAGCCTAAAGAAGGGTAAACGTAACTGAAGCAACTAATTTTGAATCCTGTCACTTAGTGTCGGACCTAAGATTTTGATTACGAAATTCTACACGGCTTAGTCCAGCCATCACTGTCTCTGAGGTTTGATAATGTAACTTTTGGGCAATCCATGGGGCTTTGTTCAGCTAGTATGTTCATGCTTTTCTTCTGCCAAGTCTAAACATTGGTCTATGAACCTCAGCATTGTTGACATTGTGTTGCCACAGAAGGCAAGCAATAGTTCAAGGATAAGAGCACAATTGAACTAGATGTCAAATAAGCCTGAAGCTATAGTTTAGTGATCTTTATGACAGTAGCGTTTTACAAAAAAACGAAAGCATGAAATGACACATAACAGAACCCCTAAAAGGACGTTTTCACTCTTGTTCATTAACCTGTTAGACAATATGTGCTTTGGTTACCAGTTGGATCGATTTTCTTATATTAAGAAGTTGGACTAGAAGCATCTTCAAAGCTGACCTACATTGGTCTACGTACCTTAAAGGCTACACTAGACTTACTTAGGTTGATCTGATCTGAAGTCCAACCACTTATCAATTTTTAACTACGACCTACGAAATCTGAACAAAGACTAGTCAGAAGCTTTTGTGACATAAACTGGTTTAAAGAAGTACTTAACAGTCTTCGTCGAAAGAAAGGAAGACATTGAGGAAATTCTGAACATGTAGCTTAGACGACATTCACAACTCATTGGATAGTGCTTCAAATATCTTCTGATTATCTGTTAACTGACCACTATACTATTGTGAACTGGACAAAATAGTAGTGATTTTACAATCCCTTATCCAGGATGACAAGTTTACGAGGAACCCAGGAAAAAAATGAAAGATGTGAGGCGTTGTCCTCAAGAAAATTCGGCAAATCTATAGGTTGCTAAATTGGGAAGAATAGATCTACCAAGGAAGTATCGATCACCAACCCTAAAAATGTTGGATATATTTCGTAGTCACAACTTAGACCGATAAAAATGTTGAATTCTACGTTGGGCATGAATAAGCTACATGAACAGGGCGTTTTAAGGTTGGTTTACACCAGTAATATTCAAAATGGAGTTCTGAAGGTAGATAGCTCAAAAAAACATAACTAGAGGTCGGATTTTATTGAGGGTGTGTAGAATGGGTTCTTAATCCTCATTTTGACAATACTTTGTGTTAAGGTCCTATGATAGTTTTTTTCCTTCCTGTTGCCACAGATTCGTTTCACTTGGAAAGATGCACAAGTACAGAGGTTACATGGCTTTACCGGCTGGGATAGTCTGGGTTTATGAAGAATTTGAGATTAAACAATCATCATTCTCCAAAGTTTCTGCACCTAACTACTTCCAAGTTCATCTGAAAGGAACGTTTTTGTTTATTAAATTTGATTATGTCCACAAGGATACTCAGAGCATAAATTAACATAGCCCTGGTAAGTGAGGATGTAAACAAGAAAGTTACCAGTACAGTGGGAGTTTTTCGACTATTTGATATTGTTGGTAGAATAAGTGATATATGACCAACAGAAAGCATACTTTTACAGGTAAGTGCTATGCTTACAAAGAAACCACTAATGGGCTTAGCCAACTATACTGTATTACTTATCAATATAACGATGAGTATCCGACATGAAATTACAAGAACCTGATCAATAGTACAAAGTGATCGTCTTTCGGGATCATAACCTGGCAGGTCTTCGTTCACGAATGTTACCAACAAAACGGGAATCATATAGTGTTTGTACTATATATACCCACTGTGGCTTCATATAAAGGGCTAATGGTAATAAACAAAGAACTAATAGAACTCGTTTTAGCCTGTACAACAGGACAGACTCGTTGATAGCGTCAAGAGTCTAATCAGGATCTCATATATTAGGATTTTAACAAGATTGCATATTAAGTACGATAAATATAAGCCTAGCATTAACCAGTATATGATTATCAACAAAACCAAACCTTCGAAACTTGCTAGCTGGAATTATATACGAAAAATTCCGCTACTGACTATAGAGATACAGTTAAGTCATTTTCATTTTTGATGATATTTTCAAATATAGATCCATCAACGATAATTCCACTGTAGCTCCAAACAAATTCGAGTAAGGTAGTCAATTCAGGCACTTATTAGATCAATTTTAAGGGCGCAAACTTGTCTCCTGTTTTAGATGCATAGAATCATTGAAACTGCAGTTCATACAACTGACTGGCCTTCACAACTCACAATTATGTACAGTATATACAACCGACCCAACGCCCGTATATTCCGCAACTAGCCACAAAATGAGAGAACCTTGAAGCATTTAAACAAAAGATTGTATGTAGAAATATCACTTATTAAATTAATCACTGAACTTCTATATTTTTTCATTGTAAGAAAAGATTGCCAGGGGCTGATAGTTACATGGTTAGTTTGTTACACATGATTGTTGGTAGACTTTGGTCATCCAATTAAAAGACTGGACATATCTTTAACTACCCCACACTTTTCTACTCTGGGTTTAAAATTTTGGGTAATGATTTTCACTATCTCAGATGTTTTTGTGAGAGATGTACTTCGAAATAGCCACTCAAACTTTCTAAATACTATACAGATCTTTCCTAACATTTTTTTGTCTTACGGTGTTTAAATGAACCAATGTCCCATTTAATGATATCTGTTTGGGAGATATGACAAGTTTAATTTCATGCAATCTGATTGGTCGACAACGAGTTTTACTAACAATTTGAACTAAAAAGCAGCATACTTTTCCAGTGACTCAACTGCTGACAGTCTAAAGAGTGATTATTCAGTATTTTGTTTTTCATGCCGATGTGTCGGAAATTACTCCTTGTATTTAGACATGTCAATCAGCCAACCTGACGCTGATGAAGAATGTCTAGTTTTTCCTGCAATAACTAAAAATTATTCAGAAGTAAAAAATACGGATGGATTATCAGTGGAATTAAACAATACACCACCCAACCCAAACTCTTTTTCTCGACCTCTACGTTCCACTTTAAAAACAAAATCGAAGTTCGAATCCGAAAAAATCAGACAAACTGGTTATAATAGCTCAGAACGAAATAATAAACTATACGCAGTAACTACTAGAGGACAAAAAAATCCTGACAGCTCAATCCATATGATTTATAAATTCGACTCTATGGAGAAAAACGGTGCTATGAAAAGTCAATTACCAACCCTTAAAAATGACATGGAAGTATGTGATTCGGATCAAACCACGCCATGTGGATCTAAAGAGCATTTAAAGAGGCCTTCTATACAACAGTTAAGAAAGTACTCGGTCGTGGATCCGAATACTCTTAAGTTTATAGAAGGTTAGGATTATTATTATTATTATTATTATTATTATTATTATTATTATTATTACTGTGTCATGATATTCGTACCCACTTTTTAACTTAAATATTGGTTTATCACTTACATTATGAATTTCATACAACACATTGGTTCATTATTTTTGTTCACATTGGCATCAAAACATAATCGTGTAGCATGATTCTTATTGAGGACTTCTCGGAATTCCATATTATTCTAACAATGCACATTGAATTTCTTTATCAGGAGAGTATAAGTTATATAGACTTGTTCAACAAAATATTCATCTTTTCTTAAATCTGTTTCTGTTTACGAAAAAATTTCAATTTCTACGTTAAAAATCACTAATTATCTTTTGATCATTTGCATATCAGTATGAAGGTTAGATTAACAGGTTTATAATTGATCCTTTTAATGTATATACATTAAGATTTCGCTTGATTTGACCATATACTATGATAACTGGTTTTTAAGCAAAATTAATTAACGTGTGAAAAATGAGATTGATATTATTTTCTCCCATCAATTTGATACATAAAATACTCACATTGCTAATAATTAAATACATGTATATAAGTTTAACAGGATATTATACTAGCTTCAACTAGAAACCATAAATTGTTAATACTAAAGAAACTGATGATTAACTGCTAAACTAACATACACACACACACACATTTTCATTATGGAACTATATTTGTATGGTTAATCATTGGAAATTAATACACATGTTTCGTCTAGGTCTCAAACTCTTTAATAGCGTATATTCACAACCCTCATGGTAAACATGATGCAATCAGAAAATTGACTCAAGTTAATTTTCTCTGACTGTAAATGATAAATCTCTTTATATTTGATAGTGTTAGGAAAATTAAATGTCAAACATGCCTTTAAAAAAAACTTTGACAAAAAGCAGTTTGACATGGATGTTATTTCCATCGGTTCACTAATTCATTTGAAATTCTACACAAAACTACAGGAATTCTTTCATTACAAAATATGTTTGTATATGGTATAGTCAAGTTAAACAATTATTAATTAATCTATTACTAAATAGATTAAAAGAGATTAGAATCGCTTCATATCTTTCTTTCTACGAATTAATTCTTTCTTCCTGTACTATATCCTTATATGCAATCTTTCTTTTATATATTACCACCTCTGTATTAACTACTTATATGAATCCGGTGTTCATCTTGTTGTCAGAATGGGTTTTGTGGAGAGTTTTTAGAAATTTCACAGGTTGAAATCATGAGTCGATTGAAGCTAGACCACCATGGAAAACTTGGAAGCACTGGACGGCCGTTTCGTCCTAGTATGGGACTCCTCCTTGTTGTGTCTATGAGGTATGGCAACTTGTATCGATGCATATATGTGCGTGGTCCTACGTTGTAACTGACTGACTGAATCTATTACTAAATTGGTTAAAATTTATTATTTGAAGGTAAAATGTAATTTATGTTAGACTACTATATAATTTCAGACTATCATTAATAAAATACAAAAACCAAATAGAATAGTACATTTTTCATTCATCAATAATTTAAACCAAATTCAGATTTTCCTCTATTCAATGACAAAATATAAAACGGATCATGTTAGTGCTTTTCTGAATCACTTCCATGGGTAATTGTAATGGCTTGTAATTTTTCATCTTTTTATTTATGACTGCTATTGATTAGTTTTTATTAGTATAGCGTATATCCTGAGCAAATTATCTTGATTTAGGTCCTTTCCTAAGTTTTAATATATTCGAATTGTGACTAACACTGAAATGTAAGAAATACATTTCATCCTATCCAGTATTTTTCACTTTAAACGATAACTCATTATCCACTGAGTCATGGAATTCAACATAGAAAGAAATACACTTTCTGGATTCCAGTCCCAGAAACTAATGAACTTTACTTAAACTTGTGACTAAATGACAATATCATGGCAATTTACTGAGTATGTACCTATCGATTGCAGTCCTAAATATAAATAATGAGAGAATATAAACACTTAAAAAAAAACCTCGGACTCATTGAACACTTTTGTGACTTTCTAGATTCATTTTCTCGGTAGATAACACATAAACATATAAAGTGAGAGGTTCCGGGTTCAGATCTCAATGTAAATGCCAATACTGAACCACAAGTACGTCTAACTGATGAATGTCAAAAAGGAAATAATACACGTCCATAATTCCCCTGCTAGCCGCAGTCCATCTCTATTAATAATATTTCTATTACATTAATGATAATAATAGGTTTACCCATTACTAAATTTTAACATTTATCTCATTGATATCAGAAGGGGTTTTATGGAGATTGTTGTAATTTTAATAGTTGGAATCATGAGTCAAACGTAAAAATCTTCGATCATGTCTAAACTGTATAATATACTTAATGAATAGTATCCCAGTGTATCCATCACCTTCTAATTTGTTCAAGAAAAAAAACAGTAGAAAAACGTATATTAACGACTATGATTCTTTTTGGTTTTTCGTTTCTATCTCAATATTTCAATATCGTTATTTATTATTTATTTGTTTAAACACATAGATATTGGTACAATTGGGCACCGAATACATATGAGCCACACAAATCTCATTTGACCTGTGTGAGAGCTGGGATACTGCCCGGGTGCCCAAACCGAAGCAGGTGGTTTCCTTAGGGGGCCATACTCGGAGCCTTCGACCTGAAGGTCTGGTCCATAAGGCAGTGGGGCATCGTAAGGAGATGCAGTCCTATGGTAGTCGGTGACCGACATTTGGTTCATGCGCCATTTGTCTCCTCAGGATACTGAAGCTCATTTGCACCATTGGTTTGAAATCAGGGTTTTCCAACTCCCCTAGATGGGCTCTCTGTGTCCACCAACCCGGTTAAAGTGCCAGACATTCGCTTTTCGTCCTCTCAATTTCGTAAACAACACCCCCGCCACTAGGAGGCAGTGAGTAGGACTTCCCTGGCAGATGCTATATACGCGTGACCATGTAAGAGCATTTGGAGAGGGTGAGCGGACTCTCCCCACTTTCGGCCGTACTAGGGCATTTGGGGCTTTCAATAACGTATTAGATTGTGAGTAAATTTATAAAAGTCCATAAGTACATTTTACCATTTATAAAGATCATTATTTCATTAAAACGAATTTCAAACGTGAAAACTTATTCAAATAGTTGTAAAATTTAAAAGAAAAAAAATTGAGCTATAAATTTGGTTAGTCGAATTGTTCATTCAATCAAAGTATTAATTACATAATTCATATTAAGTAATGTATAAATAAATACATCATTGATGAGTAAATACATACAATTTAATACCATACTGTCTAATATTAGTTATGGTTCAGTAAATTCTATCTATAAAATTTCTAAAAAAAAATAATACAATAATTGTGTTAAATTAAAAGTAGTAAAGGTGAATTGAATTTTCTCATGGATAATTGATGTACAGTAATTAACTGAACAATTAAGTTTGTACACTTGGTATTGTTTACTTGAATCTTCTCATTGATGTTTAGGATTGCAATTAATCAGTTTCTTATTAGCATATGCGCATCCTATGAGGATTACCTCGATATTGCCGAAAGTCACAAGCATTATAAGCATAGATGGATGGTGGCAGTTCTTAATATCAATGGGAAGATTCAAGCAAACAATATCAAGTAAATTTAAACTTCACCCCATTGCACGTGCAGATGACTATCGGGACTCAGTAGCTAAGTGGATAACGTGATGGTGTTTGAAGCGAACAGTAGTGGGTTCGAGTCCCGAAATGAACATCAACTGTGCGATGCAGTTACATCCATCTGGCGAGTCCCAAATAGAACGATTCCACTGCTAGCCACCATCCATCCTCACTTATAATTAATTTTGTTGTTTTCATATTACTTAATTTCATGTTAATTAGTTTACAATAAAGAATCATTTACATGAATAAATAGAACTGCAACAAATTCATCATTTATGACCATTTTAATGTGTTATGAATAATGGAAATAAACGGATAAGCAGTCCTTCAATATTAATTAGCGCCAATTTATTTTCAGCTGTAAAATTTCAGAACCAATTCACTTTTTATGATATTTTTTCTCATTAGATAAAATATATTTTATGCATGGGTTTCAGTGTTATCGCCTCTTAAAAGAAAGAGTGAGTGAATGAGTGAGTGAATGAGTGAGTGAGTGAGTGAGTGAATGAGTGAGTGAGTGAATGAGTGAGTGAGTGAGTGAATGAGTGAGTGAGTGAGTGAGTGAGTGAGTGAGTGAATGAGTGAGTGAGTGAGTGAGTGAGTGAGTGAGTGAGTGAGTGAGTGAGTGAGTGAGTGAGTGAGTGAGTGAGTGAGTGAGTGAGTGAGTGAGTGAGTGAGTGAGTGAGTGAGTGAGTGAGTGAGTGAGTGAGTGAGTGAGTGAGTGAGTGAGTGAGTGAGTGAGTGAGTGAGTGAGTGAGTGAGTGAGTGAGTGAGTGAGTGAGTGAGTGAGTGAGTGAGTGAGTGAGTGAGTGAGTGAGTGAGTGAGTGAGTGAGTGAGTGAGTGAGTGAGTGAGTGAGTGAGTGAGTGAGTGAGTGAGTGAGTGAGTGAGTGAGTGAGTGAGTGAGTGAGTGAGTGAGTGAGTGAGTGAGTGAGTGAGTGAGTGAGTGAGTGAGTGAGTGAGTGAGTGAGTGAGTGAGTGAGTGAGTGAGTGAGTGAGTGAGTGAGTGAGTGAGTGAGTGAGTGAGTGAGTGAGTGAGTGAGTGAGTGAGTGAGTGAGTGAGTGAGTGAGTGAGTGAGTGAGTGAGTGAGTGAGTGAGTGAGTGAGTGAGTGAGTGAGTGAGTGAGTGAGTGAGTGAGTGAGTGAGTGAGTGAGTGAGTGAGTGAGTGAGTGAGTGAGTGAGTGAGTGAGTGAGTGAGTGAGTGAGTGAGTGAGTGAGTGAGTGAGTGAGTGAGTGAGTGAGTGAGTGAGTGAGTGAGTGAGTGAGTGAGTGAGTGAGTGAGTGAGTGAGTGAGTGAGTGAGTGAGTGAGTGAGTGAGTGAGTGA